TGTCATATTGCCACTGCAATAGCAGTAATTGGATGATGTAACTATAACCTTCAGTGCTATTAATTATTTATTAAGATGTGTCCAAGGTCATTAGATCAGAGACATTGGTACACAGCTGAGAGCTCAGAGTAACAACTGCTGGACTACTCACAGTAGCTATAAAAGCAAAAGAGAAAAACATTAATTCAAGCCAAAGCTAATACATTCTTGAATTACAAATTAGTTTTCCATAGCGATGCCTCATAGGATATCACAATCTTATACCACTAGCGTTTCTCCCCCTCGTATAAGTTCTCCAGCATTAGCTCGCATAAATTGTTTCGGCTGACACTAGTCATAGAACTGGAAGACAAACAAGGATTCGAGCTGATGGGACCCTATACTAATCCGCTATGGTCACAGATGGCAGTACAAGACGACTGCATACTGGTGAATGACAGGCTGACAGTACCACTGCAATTGAGACAGGCAGTGCTCAAGCGAATCCACCGGGGTCATCCGGGCCAGGAAGCCATGCTAGGAGTCTCACAGTACCTGTGGTGGCCGCATATGCATAAGGACATAGTGAATCTAGCGAAATAGTGCCGTAATTGCACCAGATATGGCAAGAACGTAAAATATATCATTCAGAAAAACGCGTCAAAACCACTACCACTGCTTCCGCAGCCGGAACAAGAAGTACAATTAGATTATGCTGGACGGTTAAAAAACCACAGGGGAAAAAATCGACCTTCTAGTAGCTATAGATCGTTTCTGGAAATTTCCTTCGGTAAAAGTCACTAAATCAACACGTGGAAAATGTACAGTGAAATTTTTGAGATCCTACATAGACACATGGCATTCTGGAATCAATACGATCTGATCAATTTTCGGGATTTAAAGGGAAAACACTTAAAAAATTAAGTGGGGATACCAGCCCACTGTACAAGCAGCAAGTGAATTCAGATCGGGATCGTCAGAGAGCAAAAGCCCTCAAAAATCTACTAGAGGCAAACGCTCGTTGGAATGAGGAGCGCAGAGACGAGGCGAAAATCGATATTCGGAAAGTCGTTGACGATACAGGACAATCTAACCTTGAGCTCAGGAAAGAAATGATCTATTCTTGGGAAAAAGGATTTATCGAGGACTAAGAAGAGGAAAGCACACAGTCGCCGAAAAAGACGATTTTGGTAAAGACGACTTGCGAAAGAGTGGCCAGGCGCTCACAAAACCGTTGAAGTATCAAATAAAACCTATCAATCACGGTTGACCCGATGATCGATAGATTATTGCCCTATCAATTTAAAATAGTTCACATTCCCGGGAAGGACATGGGGATAGTCGATTATTTATCGCCTGATCCTTATAATGATCCTTGGCCCGAATCGGAAATAGACGAAAAATTTGTTGTAGCAACAATTAATTCTTTTCATAAAGCAATAGACTGCATGAGCAGTAGGCTAGAAAACACTGGGCGGCTGAACCGGAACGAAAATCTTCTAGAATATTCTAGAAGGAATGTGGCGAAACAGTCATCGCATAGTGGTTGCTATGGCAACCAAAACGGTCAAAAACGAGCAAAGCTCGACCGGAACTAAATAAACCAACTTTCGCGACCGTCGAAACAGTTAACAGCAACTCACAAAGAAAACAGATCACTTTTTCTTCATTTCAACCCAACAAACAGTCGTGTCACCAAACTGCAAAAACAGTCAGAAAAAATTCAGCGAATCAAAATAAAAAAAAACAGACTCACGGAAGGAGATGTCAGAAAAATTCAATCGCTCCTACGACTGGTGGTCGGATACACCACAAGAATGGAGGAATGACGAAAGAGAGGAGAGCATCCTAGACCCGAAGTAGAATCGATCACTTTCGAACACAAAGGACCTGTCAGAGGAAGAGGAGGTCACCGAAACTCTGCAGCGAACAAGAAAAATAATCTGAGGGAGTCGGAGAAATAAGGATAGTTCGGATAGTGAAACAAGGAACCAGTCAATGGCCAAATGGCAACTATCACACGACCAACAAAAAGAAGCGGACAACAGGCTATCTTTATTCTGGCAATTGATTGGGGGGGGGGGGGGAGCCGAGCTTTCTGCAGAACATCAATCGAGAAATAGTGGCAGATACGACAGAGAGCGTACCAGTACCAATAAGCATCGTGCCGGCCCAATCAGAAGAGAGAAAATTGAGCGATGTACAGGGCATTGAAGTGGACATGACGACCACCGATGAAATGGACGAAGAACAAGAAGTGTGCGCAACAGTACCGCCAAAACGACAAGCACATAAACCAAAAGAAGACAAGAAGCTGCAAAAGCAGCAAACGGAAGATACACTAGACAACCTCTCAAAATTGTTTGACAAAAGCCTTCTCACAGAGCTGAACTCAGAGGACACTTGGATGGATCGGCTGAGACTAGTCATAGAACAGGGAGACGAACAAGGATTCGAGCTGATGGGACCCTATACTAATCCGCTGTGGTCACAGATGGCAGTACAAGACGACTGCATACTGGTGAATGACAGGCTGGCAGTACCACTGCAATTGAGACAGGCAGTGCTCAAGCGAATCCACCGGGGTCATCCGGGCCAGGAAGTCATGCTGGGAGTCTCACAGTACCTGTGGTGGCCGCATATGCTTAAGGACATAGTGAATCTAGCGGAAGAGTGCCGTAATTGCACCAGATATGGTAAGAACGTAAAATATCTCATTCAGAAAAACGCGTCAAAACCACTACCACTGCTTCCGCAGCCGGGACAAGAAGTTCAATTAGATTATGCGGGACGGTTAGAAAACCACAGGGGAAAAATCGACCTTCTAGTAGCTATAGATCGTTTCTCGAAATTTCCTTCGGTAAGAGTCACTAAATCAACAAGTGGAAAATGTACAGTGGAATTTTTGAGACCCTACATAGACACACATGGCATTCTGGAATCAATACGATCTGATCTATTTTCGGGATTTAAAGGGAAAACACTTAAAAAATTAAGTGGGATTACCAGCCCACTAACAAGCAGCAAGTGAATTCGGATCGGGGTCGTCAGAGAGCAAAAGCCCTCAAAAAGCTACTAGAGGCAAACGCTCGTTGAAATGAGGAGCGGAGAGACGCGGCGAAAATCGATATTCGGAAAGTCGTTGACGAAACAGGACAATCTAACCTGGAGCTCAGGAAAGAAATGATCTACTCTCGGGAAAAAGGATTTATCGAGGACTAAGAAGAGGAAAGCACATAGTCGCCGAAAAGACTATTTTGGTAAAGACGACTTGCGAAAGAGTGGCCAGGCGCTCACGAAACCGTTGAAGGGGAAAAGAATAACGGAATCAAACTCAACAGTAAAAAAAAATTCGACAGGGTCGATCTAAAGAAAATCGGATATCGCTCAAGCGAAGGTTAGTCTACAACAGGACTAAAAACAGAACGCACGGAAAAGCCCATCGGCAGAACCACAAAAGAAGTTGCAGCGAATCAGCTCTCTCGAAATTCTAGAGGATATAGACTCAGATGAAGAACTGCGACGGCAGGTGGAACTAGCTGACTTTGTGAATCCAATTGAACGATTTCAACAGAGCCAAACAGTCATAACCTCAAAATACACCGAATCAGGGGGATCTAAATCTGGCCATCAAAAGAGCTAAACCAAATACAGGGGGACCTAGTTTGATTGGCGGTCCGAAAATTGAGGAGGAATTCGCATTAAAGAAAACAGAGAAAAAATCGGAAACAAGAATCAAGTCGATCAGCCAGAAACATCGACAAAACAAACTGCTCCTGCAATTAATACCCCGGACAAAGACGTACAATCGAGCTCCACGCCGAAGAACAATTAACAAGCCAAATTGAAGAAGATCGATTTGACTACCAGACCGGAGGATATTCTGGACACATTTCAGAACAGGAATTTGGCACCGGCAGACTGGGAAAATCTGGCGGATCCACTTCTCAAGAGGGGAGTGCAAAAAATTGCAGACGAACTTAGAAAACAAAGTCAGCCAGCCGCTGATCGGGACGAAAATTTCGAACCTCCTTCGGGGGCATCAGACGATTGTAGCGTTGAAGAAGCAGGGGTACGAAGGAGCTCAAGACAAACAAAAGAGCAAGGAGCCAAAACGCTTTGGGGACCCAGTGAAACATTCTATCAAGGAGGTCTCAGAAGAATTAACAGGGGGAGCTCTACTAAAAGCGGCACTTCAGGAGTATCGAAGACGGCTAACGGAGTTTAAAGAACGAGGTGACAGGCCAATGGAATCGAAATTGGGCCTTCTAGATAGACATCTCTCTAGGAGGAAATTTGGCTATGCTACTGGACAAAGGAGTGGACTGGAATCCCAGCTGGAGAATTGATCTAGAAGAAAACTAAAGAAATAAAAATCACAAACTTTTAAAAAGAACTGAGTGTCTAAAACTCTTGATACTATAAATTATTTCTTATATCAGAAAAATTTATTTTCACTCGAAGGGGTATGTCATATTGCCACTGCAATAGCAGTAATTGGATGATGTAACTATAACCTTCAGTGCTCTTAATTATTATTAAGATGTGTCCAAGGTCATTAGATCAGAGACATTGGTACACAGCTGAGAGCTCAGAGTAACAACTGCTGGACTACTCACAGTAGCTATAAAAGCAAAAGAGAAAAACATCAATTCAAGCCAAAGTTAATACATTCTTGAATTACAAATTAGTTTTCCATAGCGATACCTTATAGGATATCACAATCTTATACCACTAGCGTTTCTCCCCCTCGTATAAGTTCTCCAGCATTAGCTCGCATAAATTGTAATTTTGTAGAGTATTCAACCGAAGTTATTTATGAGATAATGTTTTGAACTGGCGGAGACGAGTCCAAGGAGAGATTATGGTTTTCAGGGTGCCAGAAATGAATCAGTTACAAAGTCAAAAAATGTTGATTTCTTAGCAGCTTCACAGATTTTGTGAGCAGTGCAGTTTCGAGAAAAAATGGAAGACCTGGTCGATTGTAACAGGATATTTTCCAAACAGGATCTTCTGTTTAGGCTTATGAGTGCGTTCGGCAGTCTTGCAGTTCTGCGTAATCTCAAGCTGTCTCTATGTGGGCCAGGGTTTGAGGAAAGCATAGCTTGTTCCATCTCACTAAGTCAAGTGGCGACCAGCCTACAAGTGAATGGTAATATATTTATTAAGTCTCTACTAACTTAGAGGTCGTGATTGAATACTTATCTGTTTATTAAACACTTATAGAGGTCGTGATGATTTATTATCAAGTTCGGTTAACTTCCTTTGTAAAAAGAAAGATAAATTCAATTATAGAATAGTAAGAGTAATGAAGTCACGAAAAACGTGATCGACTTCCAGTTTTGAAAGTTGATTTTAGTTTTCAGATTTCCAACGTAATAAAAAATTGCCTATTGATCCAGTTTGGTTTTCCAGTTCAAATTGGTTTTTAAAGAAAGAATTGTCGGTCATAAATTGTTTTAAAAATTTGAAGAGCGTTTAAGGTGTATATTGTTTTCTTTTGAAATCGCGAAGTTGAATATATTTTGCAAAAAAACTTTTTTTCTGTCACTTATTTTTTTTTCTGTTTTCATGTTGCATATTGTTTTTCATGCTGTTTTTCTCATTTATACAAGCAGCAATTTTTTCGAAAACTTTGAAATAACAATTTTCAAACAGGTTTTATAGGTTTTACACTTCTGTGATCTTAAGAGAGCGTTTTTTATTTCCACAAGCAGGGCGTAGTTTGATACTATAATGCCACTTTGCTACTTTTGATGGCACCTTTATTGTCACACATGTGGTGGAAACACGGAAGAAAAGACCGGCTACTCCCCTATGTGCCGCATATTCCGACAAAAATTTACCTTAACTGTCACTGTCGGCCGTCGTAGGTGTGTGTGGGGAGGGGGAGGGGGAGGGGGAGTTGGCCCATTTTTAGATTTTTTAACTGTTTTTTTTTCCAAGTTACCCTATCAAATCTGAGATGCAGCTTAATGAATAAAACATGGAAGGGAAATCTCCCCAGCATAAGTTCTAAAGTTCTAAGCCCTTGTTCTAATAGAAAATGTGTTATATCTTTAGAAAATGTCCAAATTGGTTACCGTGTGTGAGAAGTTTTTTCCTTTTTCTCGAAAGCTAACCTGCCAAAAACTTGAGATCAAGGATTCAATCGCATTGACCATTGCTGGAAGTTTCTTCCTTGCATAAACGACTGCACCTTAAATTTGGTAGAAATATAATTTTGTTTATAGCCATAGAGATTGTCCTTTTTTGACCTTCTTTGAAAGTAACCTGCCAAATCTGAGATAACGGGTTCAATCGAAAAAAGATAGCAGCAGTTTTGTTTGCTTAGGTGACTTCGCACTAATTTTTGTGTACTAGAAATTTAGACGAAGCAATACTACACTGCCAAATCTGAGAGCAAGTGTTCAATCGAAAAAAACTGGTGCCAGAAAGTTTTTCTGCATATTGGCTACGTCCTAGTTTTGTAGAAAAACAAAGTTGGATTTAGAAAAATTCCATGTTTCGAAATGTGACAGTTGTTTTTGAACTTTTTGTTTTTCTCGAACTACGGTGCCAAATCTGAGGTACAGAGCTCAATCGAAGAACAAGTTGTTGGTGTATCCTCTGTATAAAGTGTTTCTCCATATTGCCCTTATTTGACACTTTGGGCCTTTTTTGGATCTTGATAAACAAGTTTATGGCCACAGAAAATGTCCAGTTTTTGAAGTTTTTTTAGGTCTTGGAAACTTGCCGAGTTTTCTCGAAAACTATTTAACCAAATCTAAGACAAAGTGCTCAATCAAAAAATTATGTGCTGCTGGGAATGCTCTCTGCTTAGCGGCTTTGCTTAATTTTGTAGAAAAGCAGTATTGGATCATGCAATGTCCTTTTTTGAAATTATTTTCGTTTTGGAAATTCGATTTTCTCGAAAACTACGTACCAAATCTGAGGTTAAGAGTTTATTAAATAGAACAAGCTGTAAAGTATCCCCTGCGTCAACAACTTCTTCCAATTTTTGCAAAGACTTCTCCATGGGCTATTTGACCTATAGCAAGATCTACTTGACGTATAGACCTATTTTTAGACTTTGTTCAATTTCCAAAAAGCGATATTTCAAATGTTTGTTCATTTTTTGTCATTTCGACACATTTACGCGTTACCTTTTGTGACATATTGAGAACCAATGAACTTAAGCAAATGAGTATTATGAATGTCATCATGAATTTTCGATAAGCAATCTTGAGTTTATGAAATTGTTAGTCGCCAAATATCGTTGTACGCAGTTAAACTAAAGCATATTAATTTAACAAGCAAAGCTTGTGTGATAGTATGAACACTCTTTTTTTCCAACCTAGGCCGCAAATATTGCTGCGACGCAAATTTTGTTGCGAGGCAAGTTTTGTTGCGACAAAATGTGTTCATTCTGAAAAGGTTCATTTTGATCAATAACCAGCTTTTATGTACAGCCAAATACTAAGGATATTAACTCAGACAAATAGCACTTTAGCTTCAAGGTATCATGGATCTGTAGCGTAATATAAGAGGGAGATTAAAATAAGAGGGTTCGAACCTGGGCAGGGTCGGATGTTTTCATTGAACTTTTTCGTATACTAGTTAAAATGCGTCGCTCGATAAATTGAGGCATGTTAGTTGGTAAATTTTTTAAAAATTGACTGCTACTGCTATTTCATCATAGTTGGCTTGCGTCACTAGCAATTATGTAGACTCATAATTGGCGTGCGTCACTTACGACATTTTGTAGACTTAAAGCTTTACTCATTCAGTTTTTCCCAGTAGCGTTATCGGTCATATTTTTGCGGGTGTATGCGAAGTGAAAATTCGCCTGTCTGTAACTTTTCCTATTGTCTGTTGGCTTAAAGAATATTTTAAGTGTAAAAGAACGGAGTAATTTTCATTTATATAGGTCTTAGGGAAAATTCTTAAAATGCTCTAGCAACTACATAATAAGAGCATTCATACATTTTAATGGATATAATGGATTAATGAATGCATTTAGTAATACATGCACGCTTTTAATTTTAATTTATCTGCTCAAAATTAGGTAAATTGCGCTCTCCAATTACAAAATCGGAGATGAGGCAAAAATACGTGAACCACTCACTTCTAGTTTCGAAAGTGAATTTCAGTTTTAAGATTTCGCAGCGGAATCAAAATTTTATCCACTGATTCACTTTTCAAGAAATTGTTTATCGTTAATTTTTCTTTAATTTCGTAGAGCTTTAACCTGAAATATTTTTTCTTCTAAGTTCGAAAGTTTTTTTATGGTTTCCTTGTTCTTTTACACTTTTCCAATCGTCTTTTGGCTATGCTTTTATGTTCTCGCATTTTTGTTTTTGGCATTTAGATATCCTTTTTGCCGTTTTTTAGTTGTGTGCGCGATTTGCAGCTTCCTCTCTGTGTATCATTTCAATATCGTCCCGTAGCTATTAAAACAACATGTTTTCGAAAAGTAATGATTTTTTTTTATTTAGCAAAAATAAAGGTGGTCGCAACACGTTGATTCTTGCACAGTAACCCGTTGCTCCGGTTTATTTACTAAGTAATACGTACACTAAAACATTTTTATCTGGTTTTAGCCGATTCATCCAGCGACATGAATTCGACTTGTTTCCAGCTCCTTTCAATTCTGAGGCGATCTCTTCACTACTCGGTATCCATTAAGTCCGCTATCTACCAAAACATACCAACTGTAGTATCCGAAAACGAAAGTATCTCTTGTGCCCTAATCGAAATGCTGTATCAACACTTGGTTTCCTTGTGGACTGGAAACAATGTAGTTCAATGTGTTATGTCTTCATTTGACCTTGAAGATACGTTGACTGAGGAGTTTGGACAACTTGTTCACGCACTTGCAGAATGTGTTCATGTGGTGAATGACAGGTTGGTTGGGAGGAATGTCTCGGATATGATTGAAGAAGACTCGGTTTTGACAAAAGTATGTGCAAATGGGTTCAGAATTGTAAAGGAAGTTGTTTCGTCTGTTTCTACTGCAGATCTCAAAGGTAAAGAAGTTCAAGGTTGACAAAGTATACCAAAGATAAAGTTTATTTGAGAGTTGAAGGATTTCTATTATAGAATGCATATTGTGAGCATGTTACCATTACTTATACTTAATGGTATATTAGTTAACACATTTTTCGAATTTCAAGTTTTTCCCTTACATTGACGGGCGTATCAGTAATTTTGAACCAGAGCTCGTTCTGTTTGAAAACTCCTAATTAGATGCATGCGTAATAGTACTACGCGACAGAATATTGAAAAACTTGATCTTAGCTAAGTTCAGTTTTCGAAACTTCAATCATCCTTTGATTGTGGTTTTTTGAAACAATGTTAAACGCCTCTTACGTTCCTTTCCGGTCATCTCTTTGAAATAAAATCTTTTTCTGTTTAGATTTGAATATTGGTAAAGATTCCGATTTCAATAGAAAGAACCCGGCAGGAGCCCAGAATCTAGAAACTGCACACATATTCAACACACTCGTACAGACTTCGATTCAGTTTAAAGTTCGAACTTACCAATCAAGCCATGAAGCGTCATGTGTGCAGTTTTTGGACAAGCTGTTTGACAAATTAATGGACTTATTTGACGTGAATAAGTTTTTCAAGCCTCGAAATTTGTTCAGCTTGTCTGTTTTGAATCATCTTGTTGCTGTTATTTTGTTCCCGTTTTCAAGTGGAAAAGATGAAAATGGCACGTTTTCCGAGTTTGTCAATTGTGAAAGATTGAAGAATGTGATTTTGAAATTTGTTTTGCAACAGTGCGAATCGTGCTTGCAGTACAATATGGTGGATGAAAAGTAAGTTCTGGTCATGTTAAAACCCACCTCAACGCCTGGGCTTAAGCATAGTATTTGTTGCTAAATTTTCTTCTAAGGCACAATGTTCATAAAATTTATTGGTTATTAATAATTGTTATACTGAGCCGTTGACATAAGGGGAGAAATGGTTAACATTAGTGTCCGTCTGTTTTTGGTAATGAAGTTTCTAAAACCAGTACAAAATGAAAAGTTTTGTTTTGCATACCTTATTGTAACTTCACGCGTGTAGCCCTAATTACACGTAAAACAACAATCAAAATTGAAAATTTGAAAGTTGGGGAATGGGGAAGGAAAAAAGCCACTAAAAGGAGACAAAATTGTTTGACTGCTGTCAATATTATAAAAGAAATGTCCAGACCAGGATTCGAAGGTGGGTTATTGCGTCCACTACGCAATGTCATAACCACTAGACGATCTGGACCAATTGTAAAGGCTAACATTAATTGAAACACACAGGTTGATTAAGTAAACTTAAATCCGACAAATTTAATTGTAAATTGTTTTGAAACTTTATTGAAAAATCCGTAAAAACTGTAATGCTCACCTTTTCGATTGTTTTTAATTTCACTTATTAGCATCATTTTTTCTAAACGATTGAAGCTTTCAAATGTTTGGTTTTAAGGTATTTATACCAATGCGGTGCGTTTTATCAATCTGTGAATGAAGACTTCCAGCATGTGGGTGTTTTGATTTGGAAAGGAATCGTTCAGATAATTGAGAAAACCGAATCAACACAATTGAATGATCAAACTAAAGGTGAATTATTCAAAATCATTGTGTCATCATTGTATTTTGAAACAAACAGACTTTAGAATTATTTCTTTCTCCAGCTGGGTCGCTCAAAAAAGCGAGCTGTACTTTCATATCTCTATTCGGACACAATTAATTTGGTCATAAGCAGGGGCGGATCTAGGATTTTCTCGAGGAGGGGAGCGGATTTTCAAAAAAATTTTTTTTAGATCGACCGAATTGATTTTTCGAGCTCTCCCTACGCACAGTTTAACAGTTTAGTCCCAGTTTTATCCAAAAATTCTGCGCCGCAGGCAAAAAAAACAGTCCAAAAAAGGCGTTTTTTGGAAAATTTTGACCAAAAAAATTAAAAATTGCGTTTTTTTTGGCGCGCGCGCCCCCTCAAAATTAGTATATATTTGCGCCAAAGGCGCCTTTAGAAAAATTTTAGGGTCGGTCGGCCAAAAATGGATTTCTTAAAAAGTAACAAAGGGGGGACCCTTTGGGTCGGCAAGGGGTTGAATCCCTGAAGGGGGGGGCGTCCGCCCCCACCCCCCTAAATCCGCCCCTGGTCATAAGCTAATTTTACTCTCTTATATAGAAAGTTAGTTAAATTGAAGAAGACCTTCAATGAGTTAGTTTTGTTCAGGTGGATCCTACTTAGAAAATCTGCTCATGTGCATGACATTCATCTTCAAAGTGACCATTGCCCGGTTCCCAACGTCGCTCGAAGACTTCATTGGATCCCTTGTGGACTCAAACTCTTCGTCAGATCGATCATCCTTGACTAGATCGGCATCCCTTTATTTCCAAATAGTAGAAAGTGTTCATAAACTAGTCGACGCGCATCGGAGTTTATGCTCTGGAACTGCTCCTTCGACTGTTGTGACGCAGACCCTAATACGGCTGTTGGCAGTCGTGACCGAGTGCTTGTTTGGGAACAGTTTGACTGCGTGGGAGTTAAAACAGAGCTGTCAGTGGATGTGCAAGACTCTTATGGTTAATACCTGTTTGTTTCTTCTTCACCTGTGATTTACTACTCGTGATATGTTTAAAAGTCGGTGAACATAGTTCAGACTCTTATATAGGTCCTGATGATATTTTTCCGTTTTTTTTTCAGGAAGAGTCTTAAATTTTGTTTAGGCTCAAATTCACTTTTCCGCGGTTTGAATTTTGATTTTTTTTAAGTTCAGTAAATTTCCTTTGTTAAAAAGAAGGCAGACCCCATTATCGAACAGCTAAAGTTTGAAGGGTACGAAAAAAGTGATTGACTTCTAGTTTCGAAAGTGAAACTTAATTTTCAGATTTCCCAGCGAAATTAAAATTTAACTTTTTTTTTACTTTTTGATCCAGTGTTCTTTAATTGGGTCATATTTATCAAAAAAGTGCCAATCATAAATTGTTCTAGAAACTCAAAGAACTTTAAGGACGTTATTTTTTTCTTTGAAATTCGAAAGTTGAGAATTTTTCAAAAAAAAGTCGGTATTTTTTTGTTCTTTGACTCTTTTCCAACTGTCTCTTGGCTATGTTATATTAGGGTGGCTAACTTGAAATGAAATTAGAATGGATATATTTAGTCTTCTAATTCAATCTTGAGTTTGTTGAACATGTCATCAAAATGTAATGGTAAGGTACGAGAGGAGTTTAAGTCAAAGAACGTATGAAGACTTATATAGCTCGTAATGGGTTTTCGTTTTTTTTTTCAGGAAAAAGTCTTACAATTTATTCACGCTCAAATTTGTTTTTTTTTTTTCGGGTTTTATTTTTTGGCAGAGCGAAAAATGGTAGTGTTTCAAAAGTATTCCTAGAGAGCGACTATTTCACGTTTTCTAAAATTTAAATTCGTAGGATTGTCTCTCGAATTGTTCTATAACCGTATTGTTTTGTTAGTTCTTGAGAACTTCAACTAATTGATGTTAGTTTTCTTCGTATTTGGCATATTTAGTTACACACTGCTGCTTAGATTCGAGCTTTTTTTCTCAGTCAAGCTCTCTTTTTTTTCGCATGAATTGAATAAATTTATGAATAGTCGGATGGGCTCAGCCTTTTCTCATTTGAAAGGCTCTATGCTAGTTTTCTACTGAAGTTTTAGTCTTCATCCGGATGTTTTTGTTTTTTCGATTTAGTTCAACAGTTATTGAGGAAATTAACAAGCCCCCATTGAGCACCCCAACCCAACTCAAAGTAATCCACACGATCCATCAATGGAAACGCGTCCAATTCTTCGCGAATTGAAGCGCAAAGAGCACTGAGACCTACTTCAAAGACAAAATCTGCTATGAGTGCAAAGGCCACTAATGCTTTTAGCGAGAGGCGCTTTTTGTATGTTTTTGGTCGGAGCCAGTCCAATTTCCTGAGTTTTGCGCCGCCAGTTTGCCTGAGGACAATATAAGAAGCATATTTGATTCGTACTCCCGCATAAGTTTTTGAAAGAAATCGATTGAAGCTTTTTCAAATTCCACAAAAATCTGCGATTGCCTCCAACGTATGTTGCTCCTTGATGTTGCTTTGAAATTAAAAAAAATGCCATTTGCCTTAGTGGAACAGAAGAAGCATCTTTCTTTCGTATTCTCCAACAAAACTCGTACTCCTATCTTTGATTCGTACACCATGTCAGTTTCCCTTGGGTAGAGTATTCACATTTAAGGTAAAAGGTTATTCAAAAATGGTTGTTTATTCACTTTGTTAGCACGTTTGACACAGAGCAAATAATTGAAAGGGAAAATTGTTTTTACCCCATAATTTCATAATTTTTTACCGGATTTTTGTACCTCTGAAAGTTAGCTTTCTCAAACCCACTAACACTTTGAATTATCTAGAGGTCGCCCACTTCTCCTAAAGAAATGCATGCCTAAATTTCAAATCTTTTTGTTCATTTTAGGTTGAATTAAATTGAAATTCAGTGCCCACAGGTGTTAACATGTTTTTTACTTCTCGAACTCAAGATTATACGCAATAATTTTGTGAACATGTTCGCCATTTTGGTGTACGATCATATTGGTGAATGTAATCACAGGCGTCTTACAAGGCGTTTTGCTGCATCTCCAATTGGTTCTATTATTGGCGATGTTTTTGTGTTGGTTTCTGTTGAAAGTTAATCTATCTAAAACAAGGGGGCTCTTTCCCGCGCTGACTACTCGTAAATTGTAGATACATTTGATTCTGCAGGAATTCAGAAGCAAAAATGCAAAGAGGAAGGCAAAACAAAGGTAGCGGTTTCTAGTGATGGGTTTTTAGTGCACTAATAGAGTTATCGTTTCAATTTGCATAATATTGCAAAAAAAAAATGCTAAGTTTGTTTTGCATTATCAAGTAGCACATTTTCAATCCCCGATAAAAACAATTAATCAGGCGCATCCTGAATCTTCAAAGCTGGTATCCAATCTCTACATACCAGATAAAAACTACTAATTGTCGCCTGTTACGAAGCCTTGCCACATGCGAATTTTCGCGTGTTCAAAAAACTGCGAGTAGCGGCTTCCGATCGATAGTTGCTTTCTAAGAGTTGTCTCCTTATGTGACTTTCTTTTTTTTCTCAATTCTATTAATTTTCAAAGAAAAAGCTTGCACTATCGCAAAGCAAAACGCGTTAAGGTCACGAAAAATTAACCCAATGATCCGAAGTATGTTAATTTCATCAAAAAAAATTTCGTCATATTTTTTAAAAGAAATTTGGAGAGCTGTGAGAGCATATATAACAATTGTCTAATGTTTGTTAACAAACGTTGAAACTTTTGGATCAATTGAGCAATCCCCCCCTGTTACGAAGCCTTGCCACATGCGAATTTTTGCGTGTTCAAAAAACTGCGAATAGCCGCTTCCGATCGATAGTTGCTTTCTAAGAGTTGTCTCCTTTTGTGACTTTCTTTTTTTCAATTCTTTTAATTTTCAAAGAAAAAGCTTGCACTATCGCAAAGCAAAACGCGTTAAGGTCACGAAAAAATAACCCAATGATCCAGCGTTGTCGAAGTATGTTAATTTCATCACAAAAATTTCATGTTTTTTTTAGAAATTTGGAGAGCTGTGAGAGTATATATAACAATTGTCTAATGTTTATTAACAAACGTTGAAACTTTTGGATCAATTGAGCTGTCTCTCCCCCCAAGCAAAAACGGTAAACCGCAACAAAAATACATCAGAAAAAGCAAGTATATAGTTGATATGTTCGTAGCACGCAATCAATTGACCCTCTGAAGTTAATTTTATGTGAGTATCGAGAAAAATTTTGAAAAAGAAAAAAATCGAATTTTATTTATAACTTGTTTGGGCAAAACTTGTTTGGGCGACCATTGCCTCATCGAGGTATGCGACTTACCAGGGTTGATGCTCTAGCCTTCTATCTGAATATCAAACACTGTTCTCCGCTGCATCTTAATATTGTAAACAATACATTTTCCTCCTTTGAGGACAGAAAAATGTCGCTTTATATGCCTCAGTTTATTGATTCTTTTTCACTCTGATTGTATTTTTTGAGCTTTGATATTGAACATTTGGCGTTCCACTTTCGTTGGAGAATCTGTTCTATGATTTCATATCATTCGAACTATTTTCACGTGGTTATAAACATGTCTCAAGTACCTATCGAGCTATCCCCCCTTTCTCCTACTCGAGAATGGGTAAGGGGAGATTGCTCCATTGATCTCAATCTTCTCTATTTTTTGTTGAAATTAATAGAGGGTTGAAGTGGATTTGTAACTGTCAATTATAGTGGTCATGGCACTTATAAAGTCATGTTGGTTTTTTCAGTAGGCCTTAGAAGTTGTTCACGCTCATAATTGTATTTTTTGCCGTTTGACTTCGGTTTTTTTAAGCTCAATTCAATTTCATTTGCTTGAAGAAAGAAAAATTGCACTCTCAAATGACAATTTTATGTTGCAAAAAAACATGAATTGTCGTAGTTTTGAATGAGGAATTGAAATTAAAATTAATTATTATAATTTTTTATCAAAAAAGTAACATTCATTAACGATTCTGGAGGTTGAGAGAGCTGGAAGTTGAAATATTTTTTCTCTGAAATTGCAAAGCTGAAATTTTTACAGGACGAATATTTAATCATTCCCGATGAGTTTCTTGACAGTTTTCCGACTGTATTTTGGCTATGTTTTTGATGTTTTTCGTCATTTGTATGGAACTGATTTTGACAATAAACATTTTCCCCCTTTGATTTTTCATATATCATTCTTTTTCTGCCGACCAACCCTTAAAATTTTCTAACGGCGCCTTCGGCATCAGTATAAAGTAATATGAAGTGGAGCGTGCCAAAAAAAACGCAAACTTTGAGTCGAAGTTTTCCAAAAAGTGCCAAAAAACGACATTTTGACCTGTTTTTTCAAAAATTTGCCTGGCGCACAAAACTTTGTTAATCAAGAGTATTTATAGTTTTCTGGGAGCGCTCTGAAAATGGTCGGCGAAAAAAAGGTTGACAAACTCCCTCGAAAAAAATCCTAGTAGATGCGCCCTTGTCTTGATGTGACTATTTTAATTTTTATTCTAAAAATTTTAATTGCACCAGCAAAAACTCGTGTTATATTACAAGCGCGTTTTCCCCGACAAAACTTGTATTTGTTTTTTCAATAAAAATGACTATTTTGAGTGTCTTGGCACTGCTGGAATTCTAGCTTGCTCACCTGTTTTGGTGTTGGCGAAAGTTTACAAGACAGGTTAGAATTTTGCAAGACAGGTTATGGCACATGAATGAAAACAAAAATCTAACACGAATACTGGAGGATTTTTTATCGCATTCAGGCAACATTCTGGTAACCTGAAGTAACTACTAGTCAGTTATTGGCACTGTTTAAGATGGAATGTGAAGATGAAATTGTTCCAACATAATTACAATTGCTATGTGATCCGAGCGCCGGAGGCGTGTTAAGAATTCACGTGAGTTTATTTCCCTATACAAGTCACCATCACATCTCAACGGAATCAGACCAAGTGTTTTTCTAATACTTCTGTTGCTACCAAGATTTTTGTCATTAATAATTAGTATTTTCCATTCCCATAATTTTTCTCATATGGGAATTTCTGGTAAAATTCAAGTAAAATGTCATTCGCATTCTGATTCTATTCAGACGAAAATGGGAATGCGAATTCCTACTTCCAAGACCGTTTTGCGCTCTCCCTTACATTCTGGAGGGTATTCTAAACGGTTAGTGTAAAGCGACTCAATTTCGACTATTTGAGCAAGTTTCGATAAAGCAGTGATTGTCTGGAGCACATTATGGCTAAACCCGTAAAGTTAAGGATGTAAGGTATGAAAATCTGTTTACAATGGGTATTTTGTTCGCTATGCCAAGTTTCGTTGCGTTATGTCAACGTCAATGTTAAATTAGTTTTTCGAAATTGAAATTCTAAGGTAGTGCAGGTGGTGGAAAAGAGACAAGATTCAGTATTAGGATATTTGATTTGTTTTTTTTTTGTTATCTGCGCTTCAGTTTGATCGCAGTTTTGTTCTCCTGCGTTTCAGGAGAGTTCTGATTTGGATACAACCAGTGCCAAACTGCTTCTGAACCTGACTTTAACTAGCTGTTCCAAAATCCAGACCAACAACTTCACTTCAAAAGTAGCCTCTCAGATATTTTTTGAGCTGTGTGAGGATGAGCAACGAGTGAAGCGGCCTCAAGTGCCTGTGAGAGTGGTGAATCGAGAGAACGGAGAGTCGCTTTCCAACGAGTTGAACTCAGTTTTATCGCAGTGGCTGGGAAATGTCGGCTGGATGATCAGAACAGCTGGCAACATTCTAGCCAGCGCTGCTAAGGTAAAGATTTACAAAGTTGCACATGGTTATTTTCTAGCTCGATTTTTCTAAGAGCGATTCTAAGAGAATCTGTATGATTCAAATTATATTGAATAAATTATGTCCAGACCAGGATTCGAACCTGGGTTATTGCGGCCACAACGCAATGTCCTAACCACTAGACGATCTGGACCAATTTTAGCTACGAACTTTGTTTCAATGTTCTAAGTTGATTAGACAAACTTATTACATTGTTTCAGATGGGATCCGAGAGTTCCGCCGACTTTCTTGACAACATTGATAAAGTTGAACTAACCCTGTGCAATGAACTTCTAGCGGTAACCTTTACCCTGATAAAGCTCCTAAACTGCCCTCTAACTAAAGAATCCTCGTTCTGTGCCACAATTTCGAACTGCTATCTCTACCACACTAACATGGACCTGTTTCTGAAGAATATACTGTTACGAATCCAGCACGTGACAAGAAATAGAGCGTCGCCGTTGACTAGTGAAGTTCAGAATCTGATGAAGAATTCGCAGGCGCCGATGAAAGATGCAGTTCATAATGCTATGGAGCATGCTCTTGGAAATTTGTGGCAGTAAGTAAGAATCTATTGGGGTCTTATGCACAAAATGGCTCAAAATCAAAATCTTCGCAGAAAAAAATATAAGCTGAATTTACTGAAAATGCGAATCTTAGTCAAATAATAAAATTAATTTCATGTTTTTTTTGAAATTTCCAAACGAAAAAAGGGTGAAGTCCCATTTGGGTTCTTATGCATTAAACGGCCCAAAATTAGTTTTTCTATATCTTTGTGATATGCGTTGCGATATCAAATTGAAAACAAGTTGGAATTCAATACTGTATTCTGAATATTGAATTTAGATTTTCTCTTTTCTTTGTTTTCTTATGTACTGAGAGATAGATCATTGTTAAGTACTCTGATCTCTCACTTAGTCTCAGTGTCATCACTTATGTATGACCTTGAGCGTACCATAAAATAATGATTTAACACCAGAGGTTGGCTGTACATACGTATAATAAATACTGCTACTGCAGTAGCGGTATGACACACCCCCCTCGGTGAAAGAAATAAATTATACAACATCAGTAGGATAATTTATTTAAAAAGAGTTCAATTTACTCAGTTCGGAAGAAAGTCTTTTAGATGGATTATGTAAATTTCAGTTTTCCTCCAGCTCAATTTCCCAACTCGGGTTCCAATCTACTCCTTCATCTAAAGTAGCATATCCGAATTTTCGCATAAATAAATGTCTTTCGAGTCGTCGCACTTTTGACTCCAAAGGTCTGTCGTCCCGATCTTTGAAATCTCTCAGTTGGTTTCTGTATTCTTTAAGTGCCTCCTTTAACAGACCTCTTCCTGTAAGATTTTCGGATATTTCTTTGATTGAATGTTTTATCGGATCTCCGAATCGTTTGGGTTCTTTGTTCTTTGTTTGTCTAGAACTTCGTCGAACACCTGACTCTTCCGCACTTGATTCGTCCGAGAATCCTTGTGGTGGTTCGAAGTTTGTATCCAATTCTGAGCCTTTTTGAGGATTTTCTCTAAGTTCATCCGCAACTCGCTGCACCCCTCTTTTTAACAGTTGGTCCGCGTACTTCTCCCAGTCAGACGGTGCGAAATTTCTATTGTGAAACGTCTCCACTATATCTTCCAAAGGGGTGTGCGCGTCAATGCCCTTCAGTTTCGGACGCTGTTTGGTTTTCGGCGTAGAACTCGACTGGATTTTGGTATCTGCTGTGACCGAATCCGGCTTAGATATTGCTTGCTCTTGTTCCGAGTTGACTGTAGTCGCAGTTTGGTTTGCGTTGGTCCCCTGTTGTTGCTTGCTTCGGCTTTTCTTCTCTTCTCCGCTCTTTTCCGGCTTGTTCGTGTTTGTTTCCTCTGCTGATTTTGGTCCCGCCAGGTTTGGTTTTGCTCTTTTTATTGCAAGATTCAGTCCTCCCCCGGCTTCTGTGTCCTTAGAAGTGACTATTGTTTGGCTCTTCTGAAAGCGCTCTGTTGGGTTCATTTCATTCGCAATTTCCATTTCTCCTTGGAGTTCATCCTCCGATTCCAGCTCCTCTAGTAGTTCTGGAGAACTGACTCGCTTGAACTTTTTTGTAGGTTCCGACGATGGACTTTTACTTGTGCTTCTCTGTTTTTCTTGTGTAAGTACGGTTTTTGATTGAGCTATGTCCGATTTTCTATAGATCGAACCGGCCGATGTCTTAATTGTTGATTCCGTTTCTGAAGCTATTTTCCCCTTTAGTGGTCTGGTTAGGGCTTGTCCGCTTTTCCTTAGAGGGTCCTTTCTAAGTATTGTCTTGGGTGGTGACTTGCATTGGTTTTCTACTTTATCTTCCACAAATCCTTTTTCCCAAGAGTAAATCATTTCTTTTCGAAGATCGGGATTGAGTTGACCTGTCTCGTCCACTAATTTCCTGATGTCATTTTTAGCTGCATCCCTTCTTTCGTAGTTCCATCGGGCGTTTGCCTCCAACAATTCCTTTAGGGCTTTGGCTCTTTCTTTATCTCTGTCCGATGTTATTTGCTGCTTGTGCAGTGGGCTTGTATCCCTGCTCAGTTGTCCCTTGCGCACTATCTTGAGATTCTCTCTCGACTGATCAATCCTTCGTTTCATTTGAGACGCAGTCAGTGCTGAGCGTTCCAAGTGTTGTTTGTCTAAAGAATCAGAATTATTTAAAAACCTATCCCTCACAATTTTAAATTCTGTTTTTGGTAGTCTGCCGAAATGTGCTTGGAACGGGGATACTTGAATTGTTTTCTGCTTGTTCCATCGTAAATCTCGCATTATAATACTGAGACATAATTTGATTGATTTATTATTTTCATCGAGCATCATCACTCCCAGTCTTCTTTTTATTGTTTGAATTGTACGTTCAACCAACCCACAACCTCTGTGATCCCCCACCGGACAGAATTTTTGTTCGATATTAAGTTCCGAACAAAATTTTTTTAGAGTTTTTCCCTTAAAGCCTGAAAATTGATCCGAGCGAATTGATTCAGGGACTCCATGTGTGTCGATATATGATCTCAAGAATTTTACTGTGCTCTTTCCACTTGTGGATTTTGTAACCTTCACTGAAGGAAATTTTGAGAATCGATCAATAGCTACTAAAAGATAGATTTTTTTTCCTTTCTGATTTTCTATAGGCCCCGCGTAGTCTAGTTGTACCTCCTGTCCCGGCTGCGTGAGCAGTGGTAGTGGTTTTGACGAATTTTTCGAAATAAGGTATTTAACATTCTTACCTTATCTGGTACAACTACGGCACTCCTCTGCCAAATTCACGATGTCCTTATTCATGTGTGGCCACCACAGATATTGCGCTGCTCCCAACATCGCTTCCTGTCCTGGGTGTCCCCGATGTATTCGTTTGAGGACAGCTTGTCGTAGTTGAACTGGTACCGCTAGCCGATTATTCACCAAGATGCAGTCGTCCTGAACTGCCATCTGCGACCACAACGGATTTGTATAGGGTCCCATCAATTCGAATCCTTGTTTGTCCCCTCTCTCTACCACTCTCCTGAGGCGGTCCATCCACGTGTCTTCTGTGGTCAGTTCTGCTAGTAAGTTTTTGTCGAACAGTTTTGCGAGGTTGTCCAGAGTCTCTACTTGTTGCTGCTTTTGCAGTCTTGATTTTCCTAGACCCTTTGTTGGTTGAATTGAGCAGACTTCCTCCTCACTCTCCGCCTCTTCTGTGGTTGTAAGGTCGACTTCTATTACATTCACCTCACTGAGTTTTCGTTCTGTCGATGCGATCGGTTTTGACGATGTTGGACTTGATTCGTCTTCCAAATTGTCCCTGACTTCTTGAGTATCGGCCACCAGTTCTCGATTTTCCTGAACATTGTTTTCTCCACCTATTAGCTGCCAGAATGAGAGCAGTCTTTGGTCCGCTATTCGTTGTTGTTCCGGTTCCAGCGACCATTTTACTCGTTGTGCTTGACGTGTTTCGCTGTCTGAGCTGTCCCTATTTTTTCTGCCTCCTCGTATAATTTTTCTCGTCCGTTGTACTGTCTCTGTGATCTCCTCCTCTCCCGAGAGTTCGTTATTGGTGGAAAATGATCGGTTCCACTTTGGGTCCATTAGGCTTTCTTCACGCTCCTCATTCCGCCAATCTTGTGGTGAGCTGGACCACCAGTCGTATGTTCTGTTTGCATTTTCTGACATCTCGATTCTTGAGTCTGTTTTTTCTATTTTTTTTCGGTACTGGTCGTTTTTTTATTTTGCAATTATTTAAGACTGACTGTTTGCTGGGTTGATTTGACGAAAGAGTGATTTGTTTCTGTTGAACTGTTGTGTTCAACTGTTTTTGCAGTCGTGGAAACTGTTTTCTCTCGTTCCGGTCGAGCTTTGTTCGGTTTTGACCGTTTTGGTTGCTATAGCAACCATTACTTGATGACTGTTTCCTAACATTCCTTCTAGAACATTCTAGAACGTTTTCGTTCCGGTTGAGCGACCTTGAATCTTTAAGCCTACTGTTCCAGCAGTCGAACGCTTCATGAAAGGAGTTTATTGTCGCTACTACAAACTTTTCGTCTAATTCTGATTCGGGCCAGGGATCATTGAAAGGATCACGCGATAAATAATCAACTATGCCCATGTCCCTCCCCGGAATGTGAACTATGTTGAACTGATACGGCAGTAACCGGTCAACCCACCGGGTTAAGCGTGATTGGTAGGTCTTGTTCGATTGATTAACATCCAATGCTGTTGTAAGCGCTTTATGGTCAGTTGCGATGGTAAATGGTTTCCCCAGAAGGTAGTGTTTATATCTATCTACTGCCCAAACAACTGCCAATAATTCCAACTCATTTGTTGAATATATTTTTTCTTGAGCATTTAGGTATCGGGATGCGAACGAAATTGGGACCCACAACCCTTCATCATTTTGTTGTTCTAAAGTGGACCCTAGTCCATCATGGCTAGCATCGCATTTAACTCGTGTTTCACGATTTGCATCGTAATAATGCACTTTCGTAATATTAGCCACAGCTCCTTTTATAGCATTAAATGCTTCTGTGTGAACATCCCCCCACTCGAATTTTTTCACCGGGAGTTTCATGTTTTTTAACTTTTTCTTTTGATTTTCTTCTTTAAGAAGTGGTCTTAATTTTTCTGTCAGACTTGCTACGTTAGGTATAAATTTAGCTAAATGATTTATGCTTCCTAGAAATGACCTTAGTTGTTTTAGGGATTTCGGCGGGTTCAAGTTTACTACCGCTTCCGTTTTAGTGATCTTCGGTCTAACCCCTTCTTCTGAGAGATGATGACCCAACCAATTCACTTCTTGTTTGAAAAATTCGCATTTTGATAGTTTCAGTGCCAAGTTTTCCGCATCCAATTTCTTTAATACTGCTTCTACTAGGTTGGCATGTTCGATTTCACTTCCCTTTGACACAATAAGTATGTCATCCAGAAAACAGAACGTGTTTTTAGCGTGATTGATGGTTCTATCCATAGCCTTTTGAAATTCAGCTGGCATATCTGCTAGTCCGTAGAATCCTGTCAAGAATCTGTAAGTTCCGGTTGCTTTTCCGCCCACAATGTTAAAGTTGCATTGCCTAGCTGT